CACTCTCATTATCATAATACTGGGAAGGATAACTGATTAGATCAATCATAACACCTTAGCCCAAGTGATGACAATTTGTGGTCGTTATTAATCTTTAAATACAAATCGAGTCTGGAGCTCATAACAATGGCATCTGTGACCCCCTGTGCCTCTGTGGTGTGAATCCAGGTACTAGCCCTGCCAGGAGGCCAGAAGCGCATGGGGTGAGTTTGGGGTGTGGGTAGCGTAGCCTGCAAGCTCAGGCTGCTGAACCTCTTGCCATTCCTCTGATGAGACCTGGGGGGTGGGGCTGGGGTAGCTGGCAAGCTCCAGGAGGCTGCACCTCTCACCATTCCTCTCTTTTAAACATGTTAAAATGCAATGACTAGACCTGATATCCTAATGTTCCTAAAGGCAATTCCCCAAAATTCAGATTCAGAAATTGTTTTTAAGTTGTAAAAGCAGAATAAGCAAACAATAAACAGACAACCAAGTAAAGGTGAATACTTTGAGGCAAAAATCATTTATGTGGATAGGTACTGGCATATTAAACACAACTTTGTAGTCAAGACTGGAACTCTTCCAAGAACAGGGCTCGGATATGTTCCCATTCCTCCAGAAATGACAGATCTGTTGCTTGGAATATTTCTTCTGAACAGCCTCACAATTGGCTCTGGAAGTGTTTCTAAAAGTTGTCCTTCTCTAGTGATGAATAGAACTGGATTTATCTACAAAGGATTTAGTTTACATTTCTGAATAAATAAATACAGAAGAGGCTTTATTTTCTTGATTTATACAACCATACTTTACATTTTTAGTTGTAAAAATGACGTTTCTGAAATCCAGTTTATTTTGCAGTAATAAATCATTCTTTTAAGATCTATATTAACTACAGTACTCCAAAGACTGCATTATTCAGAAGAATACCTGGTGACGTTAATTCCAATCTCTTTGTTGTGGGATGGAATTTAACTATAGAGGGTCCAGCTAACATTCTGCGCACAGCAGTTTAAATGCTGAATCTGTAGTCCTGTTCCAAGCCTGGCCACTTTATGTAAGGAGCGCCAACCCCAGATAGTCCAGTAATTCACCCCTTCAAAAATGAAAGCAATAAGAGGATCTCTGCAAGAAAAATCTTATTGTAGCAAAACTTCAGCATTAGATACATTTGACTAGCAATAAAATTGAGAAACCAAGATGCCACGTGTCACATTGTAGTATATGAACATATACTATAAGAATATAGTTCTCTTGTAGGTAAAAGTTTGATGTGTTTATAACTACATTTGTTGTGCTAAGCCTTCATCATATATTTACCTAACAGTACTTTTGTGGCCTTCAGAATTTAAACAGATCCCTTGGCAATGGTTACAGAACTCTCTTTTGGAAGAAGTCCAAACTGATACTTCTCAATTGCAAGCCCTTCAGCCAGAAGTCTTTGGAAGCATTTGTTACCTTTTTTACCTATCATGTCTTTTTAAAATTAAGTATGGATTAAAACATTTAAAGGCATCATTACAGGCTTGAAGATTTGAGGAGAGAAGGCCCTGATTTCTGATTCTATTTTTCACTCTGTTTGAGGCTTCCTCTCTTATGTCCATCCCTCCACTCTTCCTCCCCTCTGCTCAGAATAAGCCTGGAGAGAAGTCAGGTGGGCAGTGGGTGACAAGAGAGAGGCTCATATCCTCGCCCTTAAAGGTGGTGGGGTGCTTACAAGCCTCCTGGGGTCTCCCATGCCTCAGCCACCTGCTGAAGAAGCCAAAGGGTTGTTGTAAGTGCTGAGACAAGTTCACCTGTGCCGATCTCATGAACCCCAAATCACACACAGGGGAGGAGATAGAAATGAGTAAAAACTTCATCAAGGCATTGAGAAGTCAGTACAGCATTTGGAGTATTGAATGAAAAAAGCATGGCCTTCATTTCTTCCATGTAGGAGGCCTTCCATGTAAGAAGCAGCAATTTGTCTCCAGTATAAATGGCAGCCTTTGAAGAACTGTGTTGGTCTCCTCCTCACTATAGTCTGGCACAGTGGCCTTTTCAGCCCAAATTATCATTGTTTGTGGACAGACACAGCACCTTCAAATCAGTCTGCCCTCCTCTGTCACCTGCTGTGTACTCAGCTCCTTGCTCATGTAGCTGGGGTCTGAGCACCTGCTTTCCACCCCTCGGCTATGCAGCCATGTTTGTTCTATAGAGATCTGGAAGCCTTTTGAAATAATTAGGGGGAAATGATATTTTTACAATAAACATATAGTTCAAGGGTAAAGAAGTGTGTGATAGGTAACTTGAAAATTGTCTTTGCTATTTCTGTTTTTATATCCTTGTCACTGAAAATCATTTTTTCCATGAAGGAAGAAGACATTTCCTTTATTTTTATTAATGTTTTTGATGAATAATAGTTACATTCATTTTTAGAAATTGGTAATATTGATATCACATCTTGGTCTTTTCAGTCCTTTTACGTACACCTCTTTGCCCTCCCTCCTTTCTCTGATCCTCTTCCCCATCTCCAAAAAGTCTGCCTCTGTGTTTTCTACCATCTCTCCTTTATTCTACTCTATGTGTATTTGGGTTTCTTATATAATGTAGGAGAAACCCTGCACATTTAACTTCCTGTGTCTGACTTGCTTCACTTAACATTATGATCTCAAGATTCATTTTCCTGCATATGACTTGATTTCATTCTTCTTTATGGTTGGATTGTGTATATGTACCACATTTTCTTTATCGATTCATCTGTTAGTGGACAAATAGGCTGCTTTCAGAGCTTAGATAATTTGAATTACCCTGCTTTAACATCAGTATGTCTGAATCACTATAGTGTATCTTTAATTCTTCCAGGAGTATACCTAAAAGAGGTATAGCTGGTTCAAACAGAATTTCTGTTTTTAGTTTTTTGAGAAATCTCCATATAGAATTCCATACTGATTTTACTAACTTATATTCCCAACTAAAACTATAGAAGGGTTTCTTTATTCCCATATCTTCTCCGCCATTTGTTACTCTGTGTGTGTATGTGTGTTTGTGTGTGTGTGTGTGTGTTTGATGAAACACATTCTCATTGGAATGAGATGGAATCTCAAAATTGTTTTGATTTGCATTTTTCTAATGGCCAAAGATGCTGAACATTTTTTCATGTACTTATTGGCCATTTGTATTTTTTCCAAACCTTAATACTGTTGAAATAGTGGAACAGGCTTGACATTTAAAACAGGACACCAAACCAAACTAACAGAAACACTGGCCTTTAGTTAGGAGATATTGCAACAGGTCTTTTCCTCCCAGATTCCTATGTCCCCCACCCCAACCCTTCACCCCAGGGAAACTTGGAAAGCTGTGCTCCAGAAGAAGGAACAATGGTAAAACAATTACCACCCCGCCACAGCCTCAGAATCCATAGCACACCACTCAAACATAATCAAGTCATTTCAGGCTATATCTCATTCTAGAATCTTGGTGTTTCACAAGCTTCCATGAGAATCGTTTGTGTCCAGTTTCGTTCTGTTTTGATATTGCCTTACTGCTTGTTGTTTTTCTCCTTTACTTTAATAGACCGGATCCCTCCAGTGTGGGGCTTGCTTGCTATCTCTAGCTCCCAATCTTGTTTTTTACTGACAACACACTTTATAACACTCGGTTTTATATCTTCATTGGAGCTAGGAAATGAATTTAATCTTGCACTTTCCAAAAAATCTGCGGTCTTGGAGAGCAGGGCCAAAGTGGTTGGGGTTTTGTGTGCCTGAGAGTAGCCAACGTTATTCTTCGACCACTAATGACTCCTCCAGATCAAGCATCTCAGGGCCAGCCCTTAAATGTTCCCAGAAAAGTTCCCAGCCTGCTTGTCAGGGATAATCAAGGATGTCTCCTGATGCCTGGGATGCAGTCTGTCTGGTGCACTTGGATTCCCACACCTGTGCCTTGGCAGAGAAAACCCAGCAAATGAGAAGAGCCAGGGCCCAGCAGCCCATGGGTAGGGGGCTCCCTGTGCAGGCCCATCTTGTGTTTTATCAACTTTCCATTTGTAGGTTTGAAGCCAGACAGAGTTTTGATTCTGTTGTGTTCTTTGCTTGAGGCTGCTGCAGTGCCACTGAGTGATCTCTCATGGGAGAGCTGGACCCTGGAATCATCAGAGACAGTGACAACCCCAGGCAGCCAGTTTGGAGGAAAGCTGGGGTCAGAAACACAGGTGCCGTAATGCCCAGCTGTGAATGCCTTTATGGCTTCTTTCAGCCTTGGGAAAGTTCTACTAAGTATGGTGGCTTACCAAAGTAAAACAGAGTAAAGAAGGGGAAGAAGAAAGAATTGAAATAAAATTGAAATGTCATTTTGTCTGAACTCTGAAGGAGATCTTAGAAGCACTTCAAAAGCACAGTACAGTAAAAGCAGCTTGCTCGAGGAAGACGTTGTGAAAATGGGATGGTGCTGGATTTACAGTGTGGTGATGTGTGACAAAGTGACATCAAACTGCATGCACGCAATGTGCCCTTGATTCTGAGTTTTGCTACTGTACTATGGTTTCCTAAGTTGTAACCATCAGGAAAGACCGGGTAGGGTTACACAGGACCTCTCCATGGTTTGCAATTTCCTGTGAATCTGTTATTATTCTAAAATAAAAGGGTTTTAAAAAGAAATTTCAAATTCATTGTGCTTTTTTTCTAAATGAAAGACTAAGTGTAAGATATTCTGAACAGGTAATAAGTGAATAAACATGGCCTTATTCATTGTGTGTTTTTAGCTACATCATGGCAAAAATATAAAGAAATGTTTTCTCCTTCTGCTTACACTAGAAATGACTCCAAAGAACTGAGTGACTTATTGTGCCTACTATCCCTGTTAGCATTTTTTATAAGCAACTTAAAATAGTTACATATCTATTCCACCAATGTGAATCAGTATAAATTGAGCAGATATTTTGATATTATGTTGATGCTGTATACTGATCCCGTGCTTAGTAAAATGTCATTTTGATGAAAACACTTTTAGGATAGTTCTCTTATTTAAATTTTACTTTTACATTTTAGTTATTGAATCAAAAACACTTCAAGGAAACAAAGGAGAACACAGCTTTACCAGCCCAGGAATCTTTGTTGTGGAAAATACCACAGTTGAATTTCAGAAGGGCGCAGAGAGGCAGACCTTTAAGATTCCAGGACCGCTGATGGCTGATTTCATCTTCAAGGTAGGGTGATCATCTTCAGAAACTTCATATATACCAGCCTGGAACATCTTGATTGTGAAAAATAGTTTTGTTGAGCAAGAGGTCATCAGTGATTGCTGTAATATGGCACGTGTTTCATTGATATTTCCATCTTACCAATCTCTTCCTACAAATTGTTCACCTCACTCAAGTCTGCTCCTTAATCCTGCTCGTTAAGAGACTTCATTTTTATAGAGGAAAGATTGATTTTGTGTTCGTAACTTCTAGTTGCTGTACACGGTTTTAAATCTCTGGAGTCTGGTGAAAATGAGCAATGGTTAAACACAGTATCCTTATACAACAGAGAATGGGATGGAAGCTCTGTGCTTACTCTCCTGACCAGGGTTCTTTGCTCCCGTCTTCAGTCCTTTGAGTGCATATGTATGTGGATATACATACTTTTTAATATTTGGAAGGATGCACCCCAAAATGAAGACAGTTGTGGTCCCAGAGAAGGGACAGATACTCTGGGGGAGAAGTCTTAATTTCACTTATGATACCTAATTCTTAAGAATAATTTTTAAATGAAGGTTACATATCAATTGTGTAATTAAAATATTTTAGTTATTCATATTCCATATTCACCTCTTTACGGAGTTCATTTTAACATCATGCCTTCCACTGTTTGAATTGATACCTCATCCTGTATTCTCCCATCTCTGAATTCTGGCTCTCAGTTGGAACAAACAGCTTTGGACTTCAACTTCTGGAGAGTTGAGCTTACTGAACTGAAAAAGTTGCTTTTAAAACATATTTATCAAACAGAATGTTGCACATGGCTGACTAATTTAGAAATAGCCATGCTGGGCCGGGGATTTTGCTTACTGATTCTGGCTGCTGCCTCGCAAGCACAAGGTCCCGAGTTCGATCCCCAGTACCAAAATAAATAAATAAATAGAAAAAAAGAAATAGCCATGATGTGTTATGCTTGGTGGAAGAGAATTTGCCAAATTGGAGATATTTGTGATGAAGTAGGATGACTCTGATGTTTTTCCCTGACTTTGGGAGCTTGTCCAAATAATGTGGTTTTCTAGTAAATATCCTATTCCATTAGGTTTTCTTGTTTGTTTGTTTGTTTTTGTTTTTGTTGTTGTTCAGAACATCGTGGCACTGCCCAGCCTGTGTTGTCACTAAGATAAGGAGCTCTTTGCTTCCATTCATCCTTTCCTAGCCCATTGAATTATGGCTGCACCTTCAATGGGAGAATGACAGCATGTGGGGTGACCAGTGACAGACTGCCCTGTGTCAAGTGAACCCCTTTCCACTAACACAGAGCATCTCATCTAGAATTGGCTTCAACCAAGGGAGGATGAGGCATTGACAATGGATTCTGCTTCCTTGGTGCTGACTTAGCACAGTCATGGGTGCACTGGGCTGTGCTAGGCACATTCCACCATACCACTCACACAGTGGGGCTTATTTCATAGCTTTTAATAAGTGGTCTTGGAAATACTACAGGCTTACATATAAAGAGTGTAGGCATCAATGTTATGTTAGGTTTCTTTCTAATTATTGCTGCTCAGATTCAGAAATATAGCAAATTGTACTTCACCAATAAATTTTTTTCTATTTTTTAAGAAGCTATATATTCATAGTTGACCCATTCTTGAAAAGTGTATCTTTTCCTCTTTCCAATGGATTTCTCATGATATACTCTTGTTTTGCTGAATGACTTCTTTGTCATGGATGATTCTTGTCACACATTTTTGCTGGGGTATTTCACAGTAGAGCCTCAGATCTTTCTTACTATATATTTTGCTCCTTCAATATGTGTGTGTGGCCACCAGGGAGCAGTAGAGAGTCCTGACCAGTTTATTGCTGTTCTCTGCTTAGCCAAATGCTTCATTCAGTGAGAATTTCCTGAACTTTTATATCTGTGAGTAGATGTTTGTGAGTACCAATTTTAGGTATACTCCCCTAAGAATAAAATAAAATTAAGTGGCTTTGATGAAGACATTTCCTCTGTAGTTAATTATAATCCACTCCTAGAAGCTTTCCCTTCTTTCAAAGCATATCCATCTTCAGTGATGATGTGGAGGTAGGGACTGTCTTCTTTGTGAGCTGAGAAATCTTCCTTTTCTTTTGTAGAAAACTCATTTTCCCTCCATTCAGATATCTTGTTTCGGGAGAAAAATGTTTTTTGATCGCTTTTCCACTGGCTTCCAGCAGTGCAAGCTGTCTCCAGCTCCTTCTGGCCTCAGCACAGATATCTACCACAGAGCCCTACTTTTCCAGAGAGCTGTTGGGGTACTTGTAACTTATCCAAGGACAGAAGATTTGAAATGCTCTCTTGTCCTTTCTCTCAAAGGACATGCTACAGCCTTGTAATGTGCTGCCACTAGTGGCTGATTTCATACATTCTCAGGTGTTTCAAAGCAAAGCAAGACAGCTTTAGAGTCGGTGCCTGCATTACTTTCCTGAGGCCACTATAACAGGTGCCCACAAGCCAGGATGCTTAAACCACAGTTGGTTGTCTCACAGTCCTGGGGTTGAAATGTCCAAAATCAAAGTGTTGGCAAGATTGGTTCCTTGTGAGCTCTGTGGGGAGATGCATAATGGCAGTCTCTTCAAGTTGTACAGCTCAGGCATTCTCCCTCTGTCTCCTCACCATCTTTGCACTGGGCATGTCCACCCCAGTGTTCACAGTTCCCCCTTTCATAAGGACACACTCATGTGGATGAGAGCCTAAGCCCACCACAATGACCTCATTTTAACTTAATTGCATCAGTCAAGATCCTATCTCCAAGTCAGATCATATTCTGAAGGCACCATGGGCTACGACTTCAACATTTTTTCTCAGGAGACATAGTGCAACCTCTGACAGTCCCAACAGGAAAGAAAATTTAGCTATTTCCCATGACTCCATCCCATCCTAACTGCTTGCCCCTAATTGCAAAGGTAGAAACTTGTGGAAGAATCCATGAATTCCTGTAATGTGTTTTGTTGAGGGAAATTTCTTGGTTAAAGGAATTCAAATACTGCTCTCATAGTTACCAGAATTCACAACTAAGTTTAACACACACACACACACACACACACACACACCCTGAACCATTTTATATTAAAATCTATTTCATAAATTTTAGTAATTATTTTGAAGTGACCAAGTCAGGCAATTGCATGTGAATTCATTTTCCTAACCAAACAAAGAAATATAGTTTTGCAAATGTCAACATATGCTTCTCTTTTGCTGCTCTGTATATACCTACCTGATCATCTTCTTTGTCATGCAGTATGATGTTGGCTTTCACATACTGCCTTTGTTCCATTGACCCTTCTGTACCTACTTTCTTCAGGGTTTTTATGATGAACTTTTTCCATTAAGTTTATTGGTACATTTTAGGTATACGATATGATGACATTCATCATTAGGAATTTGTACCTTTACATGATATATCTTGGTTCTTAGTTTTTCCCCATTCCCCTGCCCTCCCTTCAACCCTTCCACCCCTCCCTACTTCCAAAGACTTTGTTTCCATGTTTTCATTGTCTCATTTTTTTTCCTTTCCCTTCTTTCCTTTACCCTACTCTCCTACTTCCTCCTCCCCTTTAGTCCTGTTCTTCCTGTTTCACATTATCCATTACACATTTTGATTCTTATTTATACACGTATACACTTTCAGCTTCTCACACCAGAGAAACTATTCAGTATTATACGTGTGTCCTATTTATTTCAGTTAAAAGTATGATCTCCATGTGCATCCATTTAGCTATAAATGTCTCTAGTTTCTCATTCTTTATGGCTGAGTAGTACTCCATTTTATAAAAATAAAAAACCACACCTTCTTTGTCCAGTCTCCAGTTGATGAGCAATTGGGCTGTTTCCAAGTTTTAGCTATTACAAACTGCTGCTTATAGCAGCATGTTTATAACATGAGTGTGCATATATCACTGTGGTATGATTCTTTCAAATCTTTTGGGAAAATACCCAGTATGGGGAATAGCTGGGTCAAATGGGACCTCTGATCCTAGTTTTTTGAGCTATCTCCATATTGATTGCCCCAGTGGTTGCACCAGTCTGCACTCACCAACAATGGAGAAGGGTTTCTTTCTCCCCTAAACTCCACCAACATTTGTTATTGGTTGATTTCTTAATAGCAGCCATTATTTCTGGAGTGAGGTGGAATCTCAGTGTTGTTTTCATCTGCATCTCTCAAATAACCAGTGATGTTGAACATATGTTCATATGTTTATTTGCTGCTTTTACTTCTTTGAGAAATGTCTGCTCATTTCAGATGCCCATTTTGAATTGGGTCTTTAAATTTGGGGGGTCTGATTATTTTGAGTTCTTTATATATATATTCTAGATAGCAGTCCTTTGTCTGAGAAACATGTAGTGAAATTTTTTCCCACATTGTAGGTTCTTGTATGAGCTTTTGGTTTGTCTTGCTCTTCTTTTTCTAGAAGCTTGAAGTTCATCAGTAGATTGTTTATTTGAACTTGCTCTGTTTTCCTAGTATGGGCATTTATTGCTATTAATCTGCCTCTTAAGACTGCTTTCATTGTGTCCCATCACTTCCTGTATGTTGTATTGGCATTATCATTTAATTGTAGAAACTGAGTTCTTCTTTAATTTCCTCTGTGACCCATTGATTGTTCAGGAGAGTGTTGTTCAATTTCCATTTGTTAGTGAAATTCTTGTATGCTGTTTATCTCCAGTTTAATTGCACTCTATCTATGGTGTGATAATATACATGGGATAACTTCAATTCCTTTGCACTGACTTAAACCTGCTCTGTGAGCTAGTGTGTGGCCTATTTTGCAGAATGACTCATGTGCAGCTGAAAAGAATGTGTATTCTGATTTTGTGGGGTGGAACACTCTGTAGATGTTCGTTAAGTCCATTTGTTCAAAAGTTTGGTTTAGTTCTAGTATTTTGTTGCTTATTTTCTGCCTAGATAATCTGTCTATTTGTGACAGAGGGGTATTGAAGTCCCCCACTACAACTGTAGTAGTGCTTATTTGGTTTTTTCATGTCCATC